TGTGGTCCATTTGTCTTTAATATTTGATGCTTCAATCCTTTATGACATCAACAAATATAAGCATGATTTATTATTTTGTACACATTGATTGTGTATGTGCTGTATGTTGTAACTTAGGATAAAATTATATTATTTTACTAAATATATATGTATGTTGCGCAAATATTTTATTTCGTGTGGTGGTTACCCTTTTTTGCGTAAGTTAATATTGCTGGTTACATGATATCATTTTTACATGAGATGTATGTTATCCTCACGAGCATAACTCGACTCATATCAAATAATTGGATAAAGGGTAGTACCATTTCATTTTAAAGTCGTTATGAGGTGATTGTCTTAACTTATTAGAGAACCACTTCCGATGATTTTAACTGAAAGTGTATCCCAACATGAAACCCAAAAAAATGATTCATCGCCTAAAAATTGGGAATGAGAGAATAAGAAATATTCGTGCATTTAAATTCTTCAAAGAAAAGATTGTTAGAACTTATCTAAGGTCTGATCTCGACATTTTTTAAATAATCGAATATTCTTCTTCTTTCTAAAAAAGATTGGTACTTTTTAATTTAATTTGTTTTTGTGTATTTGAATATTACGATGGAACTGTAATATTTCTTTATTTTGATTGGAGTAAGAATTGATTGCCTCAAGGTATGAGGGGTCGTTTCTTATCGATAGGAAATAATTAAATATTATTAGGTTTTATTTTAAAATTCATAAAGTGTTGTTTTATGAGATCATATGTTAAATTAAATTCGAACTTGTGAATTTCAATGCAAAGACAATTAATTAATTGATTACGTACCAATTTAGGATTTGTGGGGATACTAATCTTTCCCACGCATAACCGAAACCCGAACTCGAATTTTGGTAACGCATACCATAAATTTGTCGTTTTAATTAATTTTTATTTAAAATGACAAAATGTTTTTGGGTACCCAATCACACCCTAATCAAATATTGGTGGCGACTCCTCGAACCATATTTTATTTTATTTAAAGGGAATCCCAATTTTTTCGAAACAATAGATTTTTAAAATTACATTTACTTTTTTTAATTAAAAATTAAATATAAAAGGATTATTAAAAATGTGTTTTTTAAAATTCTATTTGAAAGATGAAAATCGTTTAAACATCTTGGCGACTCCACTGGGTACTTTTTTAGAGAGTCAGACCGATAGTCGATTATTTAATTATCTTTGCAAATGAAAATTACAAGTTTGTTCTAATTTTGTTTTTGATCCCTTGTTTGGTTTTAAATAAATCTTTGTTTGCATTTTGATTTGTAATTTGATTAATTACTAAATAGTTTTATTGACTTGTGTGTTAATGTTTTCAGATTAATTGTGTATTGTAAAAGGAATTTGAGGATTGATTTGTGTGATTGTTTGTTTTTCGCTTTTCCTAACACACTACACAGTTGAATTATCATAACATAAGCTAAAACCCTTCTCTTTCCAATTTAAGTAGGAGTGAGAAATTACTCCCTCGTGTGGTTTTCACCTCCGCATGGGATAGTGAATCCCTCTTGGAGCTCACGCCTTATGGTCCTCGTGATGGTATTCACCTCTGCACGGACATAAGGAGGTGTGTTCCCTCGAATTGAACTTGATCCAAAAGCTTGTGATGGGATACTATTGAGGGTCTAGTAGCCCAAGGGGGCACTGGTAAGGTCAATTCAAGAACATGCTACTCTAGAGCCGAACCCATCATATAGTGAACTTAGAACCCGAACCTATGTATAGCCTAGCCTGAACCTTAAGAGTCTTGTGAGGAGGGTACACAAGGAAAAGATTTTTGAGTCATTTAATTTTGCTTTCCAAATAAATGTATACGAAATAGAAATCAAGCGGTTCGGTTTACTTTTGTCGAATAAGCAACCGAACTAGATAGCATGAGGATAAGTTTTTCATGTTCAAACAAAGCATGGGGGTAGATATCATGTTTGGGTAGGATTTGCTAAAGCATGATTGGGTAGCCAGCATGTGAGTGTAGGATTTATTAACAAATTACTATCCATCATTAATTTCTTTATGTTTACTAATTGATTTTCTTTTGTCTTTTGTTTATTTCATTTTTTCATTGCACTATCCATTCCATGGTGTTGATTCGTGATCTATGTCCATATACAAGGCCAGTAATATGGAACGAAAGGTTCAAAAAGAGGTTAAAGATAATGCAGATGTGCTGAGATAGTCTGAACAGTCCCAACTGACCAATGGAGATAGTTTGATGCCAGGATATGTGTCAAATTTGTTTGGTTACACCCATATTAATGTACGTCAGAATGATTTGAGCGAGCTACAAGAAATTTGGGGAAGATGGGAAGCAGTTGATAACCAATTGTTTTATTAGTTATATGACGATATCTTTTATCTCTTAGATGTTCTAATTGACCAAAATATGTTTAGATCCCTTGCGCAATTATGGAATCCTGCTTATAGATGCTTTACTTTTGGAAGAGTGGATCTGACACCTACTATAGAGGAGTATCGAGCTTTGATTCGTTGTCTGAGGTCCCAAATGAAAAGAATATACACCAAATTTCCAAACACTCATTCTTTCAAGAAGAAATTACTCCTGATGACTAGAATGAGCGAAGAATGGGTTGTCAGAAACATCAAGATGAAAGGAGGCAGCGAGTACATCTCTTAGACTGCTCTGAAAGAAGTAATTGATCATCATCTTGATAAGAGAAAGAAGTTTTATTTATTTACTTTAGGGATTAATGGGCTCATTATTTTTTCGAAGGTACTGGGGTATGTAGATGTATCAGTTGTCGACTTGTTTGAGAGATTAGATAAACACGTAGATCTTGTTCCAATCATTTTAGCCGAAACATTTCGTTCTTTAAGTTCTTATAGACGAGAGGGAGAATGACACTTTATAATCTGTGCACCCCTGATGCTAGTATGGATCCTTAGTCACTTCAAGCATGTTGAAAGAGCATCAGTACGAGTGTTTCTAGATGGGTTTTCACCTTTGAAAGATTTCCTTTCCAAAGAATGGTCTGGGGGTTTCACCAAAGATAAATGGATGGTTATCTTCAAGGATATCAGAGATGGTGACATATTGTGGTGAGCTTCATGGAATGTCTCTTCAGATATACTATACAAGTGTGGAGAGCGAGACTGAGTTTGTTTTCTATGTATTTAGGGTTTTGTAGCGTATGCACCTCTTCTAGTTTCTAGGCAGTATGGGTTAAGGCAATTCATTCTAGAAATATGGGATTTGTCAGGGTTGGAGTTTGCATTCAAGGGAGAACAATAAAAGAGTAAAGTCAAAAGAGTTGCTGATGCATGGAAACAGACTCGTCGTGTAAATCTCTTCACCTTTGGTCTGAAGTTATCTCAGGAGTACGAACAATGGAGAAGCAATCGAGTAAATGATAACATCCCAATGGTTAATCCCTGAGAATATTCAGCCTACGGAAGAACATATAAGAGTGGTGACATCCCCGCTAGAGCTAGCTAGGCACGACTTCGAGGTGGAAAGAAAGTAGTGGAGAGAAATCTTGCAAAAGTTAGAGGATGAACTATATCAAAAATAGGTGGAGATTGACATTCAAAAGAGTCGAGCTGATCAAATTGAAAAAGTTGAAAACAACTTTGACTGGACTTCGATGATCTTCAACTATCCTACCAGCAAATGATGAAAGCTCATATGGCTTCTAGCTCAAGTAAATCACCTCCTGAATAGAGACAAGAAGTAGAAAGCCTAAAGAGATAATCTTGAGAAAGTAAAGAAGAGTTCAAGCAAAGTAGGCATCAAGTTAAGATTCTATCGAAAGAAAAAAGTTCCCTAGAGCAACGATTACAAGAGAATAAAACCAAAAATGAGAAGCTAAAGGGGAAGATTTTGAGTTTAGAGGCTGTATTACGACGATATCGAAGTTGGGAATGTAGCTCGAGCTGTGGAGAGGTTGAATGTTTAAAAATGAGCTTGAGGCTATGGTTTAAGATTTTTAGAGGCGGGTAAATATGCTTCCGATAGTTCCTTATGAGAGGGTTATACAGTGGCGTTATCATTGGAGCAGGCTTAGTCTAGAGTTAAACAAAGAGATGACTTCATCGCTAGTTACTTAGAGCATGCTCAAGGAATAACTCAATATTTAGTCAACTTGTCTCATGAAGCTGCTACTGTAAGTGAAGGACTGGAACCCGAAACTGAAGAAGCCCATAGGATCATGGAATTGCTGGCACATATGCAACAGTTCCGAGAAGTAATGAAGATCTATATGTGATATGTTCCGACCTTGTAATTAAACTTTGTTTCTAATATAAAAAGTTGTTCTAAGGAGTCGTTCCAAGATCAACATCTTGCATTTTGCATATGTATTTTTATTTTTCACAATACATCTCAATTTCTGCACCACATTTGTATTCATTCATAGTCATATATTTCATATTAATTAATAAAATATCATAATTAACAAAGTATGACAGAATACTAGAAATTTCCTAGCATCCATATAACAACATAAAGAAAGCCATGGATGACAAAATCGCTCAAATTCAGAGAACTCAGCTAGAGATACAAGACAATATGAGAAAGATGCAAGAATATATGTTCAATGCTCAGAAAGAGATGTTTGCTAAGTTTGCTAGTCTGCTTGAAGAAAGGAGTCCTGAGCATGGAAAAAGCCATGTGCCCGAAACTGTAACTGAGGGACCACTTTACCCACTTGGGTTCACCCCGGATAAATCTCAGAATATTCAAGAAACACCCGTTCATACTGGGAAAGTACACATCAATCTAGTCAGTGCCTCTGTGAACTTATATCCTGGATCTAGTTCACATCATGAAGAACATCAACATCACCAAGTTCCAGATCTTGATGAAGAAGCTAGGTTAGAGCAAAACAAAAAAATGGAAACAATGGAGAAATCTCATGAGGAATTATAAGATTAGTTGCAAGAAAAGTTGACTAAGTTATAACAAGATATGAGGAATCAAACATCTAGTTCTTTACAAGATGTATCGAATTAAATGATCTAGGTGATGGCAACCAATGCTGTTGATAGAGAGGAAATTATTGTTAAAGGATACCAATGTCATCAAAATAATATGTTAAGAATGGTAAACTACCTTGGAGCGTCCCACCCAAACCTAGGGAGGAGCCTCATTAATCATGAGCAGTTTGAAGCCTCATTAATGCCTCTCACAAAGAACTAGAAGCAAGAGAACTCATCATGATCCCTGATTTGGTCATCCACATGAATTTAGGGTGCCTAATTTTGAGAAATATGATGGCACTAGTTGTCCTCTAATTCATCTGAATTTTTTTTGTAGAAAGATGAAAGGTATTTAAATGATGATAATCTTTTGATTCATTACTTCTATGATAGTCTTACTGGGCCAACTGTAGTATGGTATAACTTTTTGAAGAAAGAGCATATCAAGATATGGGTCGATCTAGCTGATGCTTTTTTGGGACAATATCGATATGTCAAAGGTTTAGTCCCAAAACATCAAGACCTTCAAAGAATAAGGATGAAGGCTACTAAAAGCTTTAAAGAATATGCTCTAAGATGGAGAGGAGTAACATTACAAGTTCAACCTCCCTTGTTAGAAGAAGAAATATCATATATGTTTCATGATTCTCTTCCTACTCCTTTCTTTGAGTTGATGTTGGCAAATTCAATGAAGGACTTCAAGGATCTTGTGACAAATGGGGAGTTAATTGAAAACGTAATCAACAAAGGAAACTTAAAAGTCCTTTTAAAAGCCTAACTGAGCAAGAAGAAAAAACTGTTGAGGTGAATGAATGTCACGCCCAGAGCTCGCACGGCCGTAAAAGAAAAGAGCAGCTAGTCGCTCGAACCGACCAAAAAAGTCTCACGATTGAGAAATACTCTAAAAGGGCTCCAAACCTTTATATTAGATTGTACCCCCATTTTATTAAAGGTAAATACCTCATACCGAGGCCGGTGAAAGTGCCACCAAACCCTTCTACCCATAGTTATGATCAAGATAGTGTATGTGATTTCCACTTGGAGGCATGGGGGCATTCTACGAGGAATTGTAGGTAGCTGTTGAAGGAGATAGAGACACTTGATGAAAATGGGACGTTGACAAAAGAATTGGTAGATTAGTGGATGACAGATATGATTAAGGCATCAAAGGACAATATGTAGTACCCGTTTGGGTCAGGTGCCACTGCATTAGATATGTAATGGGACATCCTAATTAGGAAGAAGTCGTTTCATCCATCATAAAACTTTATTCCATTTGCAGTATCTTGTTTGAACTTATGTTACTTTAAATATGGTGAGCATTGAATCAAATTTGCAACTGGAAATTCTTTGAATATCAACTGAATTAAATTTTTTTAAAAATGATTAGTGGTATAAATCTTTGACAAGGTGACAAGATTGAAAACTGTATAGAGCAAGGACCCTGGATCTTACCCCAAAGATACACTCGAACACCATACCATTCTCTTGCAGGGAAAGATATAGTATTCTCCTCTCATAAGGGAATAAACAAGAGGCTTGGCATTCGTGTATGCATAGGAGTGGACAACATGAGGCATCTTTTGTGTATGACATTACAAAACTGACTAGACCACACTTTTATTGAGGACGTTCAATGATGATCATAATCTTCACAGATAAAATAGTCGAGTAGGTAAATATAGTTTAGGTTAGTTACTTGGAAATTAAACTCTAAAGTTGAGATTTTTTTACTTTCAACAACACCTAGTCTATAACAGGTTCTTCTTAACAAGCTTAAGAAATTGAATTAGTATACCCAGAATGTAATTATATATATACAATAAAGCTTATATATTCCACTAAAGCAATTGGTTATAGAGAAAACTAAAAAGCCCTGGCTTTATGAATAGATTGCATTCAAACCATGACATTGCTCGGGTACTTGGCAGTTCGGTGTTTGCTCCATTGTAATTGTCAAGTCGAAGACTTTGTAGTAAGATGAACCCTTCAGCTAGCCCGATAAAGATGATTATAATATATATATATATATACAATAAAGTTGAATTCAGCTAGCCAAACAAAGGAAAATTAAATCAAATCTAACTAAATAAGGAGTTTCGGTAAAGAGGGACTAAGGGAGTTAAGGAACACTTGTTATAGTCAATTTCACACGAGCACTCAGGAATTTCATTTTTAGACTGATATTTTTGCACTGCCTTTGTTAGAGGAGTCTACAAAGCTTAAACAAATGAAAGATTTCAGAGAACGAAATAGAAGTGTTCTAGAAAGTCTAGTAATTGATTATGCTAGTTGCGTCATTTTGTCCGCATCCGATTAAAATACCAATCCAATAAAGAGGGGCATGTTGCAATATTCACAAGGACCGAGAAGGAAATGACATTTTGGTGGCCAAAACCTTAGAAAATAGGAAGCCAACCCATCAATTATGATACTTGTCAAAAAGCTATAACTCTGAAAACATTAAAGAGCTATTGATTATTTTAATATTATGTGAACTCATGTTTATAATTTGATTCGATTATAAGACTGAATTAAGGGCCAATACTTTATAAAATTCTTTCATTCTTTGATTTCTAAAATAAGAGAAAAGAGAAAAACATTTTCAAAGAGGACAAACTCAAATGTGAAAGTCCTTGGAATAGGTGAAACCCTTTTTGCCTCAATCAGGGAGAGAGAATAAGCGATGCTAGAACATGAAGCACTCCACATTCTTGAAAATAAATAGTCCAGAATATCAAAAGGGGTAGAAAATAAAACTTGTCTTCCTCATGACATTGTTTGTAATTCATCTAGAAGAAGATGATTGTCTTATTTGAAAGATGCACATATCACAACTCATATAAAAAATGCAAGACATTTTTGTTAGAAGCATTAATCACTACTTAAATGTTCATAATGTTTGTGGCATCACAAAGAGAAGTCCTCAATCTATTCGATAACACTACTGTTTAGTGACACCAGATTGAGACATTCAAGATTAAGATATGTTAGCACGAAGGGAGCCATGAGTACCCACTTTAGGGCATGACTAGAAACCCAGATCATGCTGAGATGACGAGATTCATACCAAGAAGACATTGAGAATGAGTCTCACAACTTGGATTGTTAGGTGAAGACCATGAATTTGAGTACAGCTTAACTTGTAGAGGAAACCAGTCGAGCATCAATTAAGAGTAGAGTCCTGGAAAAATAACTCTAACAGCGTAATTGAGTCAAGGACAGAAAGGGCCATCAGAGTCATATTTCCGACCATAACAAGAATTCGAGAGAGAAAACACTTCTTCTAAAATCAAGACAGAAAACAAAGGCCCCAAGATGATTAGGAAGATCTTCATAAGTTGCAAGCTTAAAATTATGAGTTCCTACATTGATATCTGAGTAAACCCTAAAGAGAAGTGATCAAGTGGAACAAGACCGAGTTCCCTACTTTGAAATCAAAGAAAATTGAATCACCATTTATGCATTCATACGACATCATTTGCATTAAAGAAAATGCACTACATTGATACATTTAATTGCATTCGCATTTCACATATAAACACATGTCTCTTATAGATATTCTAGTGAAAAGAGAAGATTCATGATGTCAAAATCCCCACAAGTGAGAGATAGAACTCAAACCTCATATACAGGGAATCATATTTAGAGAGGTAGAACCTGAGGAACACAGGGGGCAATTCACAGAAGAAACATTACTTTGAAGGGCATGTTACCCGACCATTAAGTGATATTAAAAAAATGAGAAAGACATTTCCAAAGTTTCCCATTTAGTATTTTAGAAAATGAAATTTTTGAAAAGTAAGAAAACGATTTCCAAAGTTTCTTACTTAGTAAGGCCTTCGGGCCATTAGTAAGTTATTCTAGCACGATGATTAAATCATTCGGGTCATATGTAAGTCTTTCGAGCAAGATGATGAGTTCTTCGTGCCAACCACAAGACCTTCGGGCAGGATGTTTTCAGGTGATTTTCAAAATGATGAGAAAGCGATTTCCAAAGTTTCTCATTTAGTATTTTTAGAAAATGAAATTTTTAAAAAGTAAGAAAGCGATTTCCAAAGTTTATTACTTAGTAAGTCCTTCGGGCCATCAGTAAGTCTTTCGAGCAAGAAAATTAAATTCTTCGGGTCATCTGTTAGGCTTTCGAGCAAGATGATAAGTCTTTCGGGCCATCCGTAAGACCTTCGGGTAGGATGTTTTCACATGAATTTAAAAAAATGAGAAAGTGATTTTCAAAGTTTCTTACTTAGTAAGTCCTTCAGGCCATTAATAAGTCTTTCGAGAATGATGATTAAATCCTTCAAGTCATTTGTAAGTCTTTCGATCAAGATGATAAGTCTTCGGGACATCCATAAGACCTTTGGGTAAGATGTTCTCACGTGGTATTCAAAAAGATGAGAAAGTGATTTCCAAAGTTTCTCATTTAGAATTTTCAGAAAATGAAATTCTTGAAAAGCAAGAAAGTGATTTCCAAAGTTTCATACTTAATAAGTCCTTCGGGGCATCAGTAAGTCTTTCGAGCATGATGATTAAATCCTTTGAGTTATTTGTCAGGCTTGCGAGCAAGATGATAAGTCAATCATGCTATCCGTAAGACCTTTGGGTAGGATGATTTCACATTAACTTTTAAAAAAATGAGAAAGTGATTTTTAAAGTTTCTCATTTAGTGTTTTTAGAAAATGAAATTTTTGAAAAGTAAAAAAGCAATTTCCAAAGTTTCTTACTTAGTAAGCCATTATCAGTACGTCTTTCGAGCATGATGATTAAATCCTTCGGGTCATCTGTAAGTCTTTCAAGCAAGATGATATATCCTTCATTCCATCCATAAGACTTTCATACAGGATGTTTTCACGTGATTTTCAAAAAGATAAGAAAGTAATTTCCAAAGTTCCTCATTTAGAATTTTCAGAAAATGAAATTCTTGAAAAGCAAGAAAGTGATTTCCAAAGTTTCATACTTAATAAGTCCTTCGGGGCATCAGTAAGTCTTTCAAGCATGATGATTAAATCCTTCGAGTTATTTGTCAGGCTTGCGAGCAAGATGATAAGTCAATCATGCTATCCGTAAGACCTTTGGGTAGGATGATTTCACATGAACTTTAAAAAAAATGAGAAAGTGATTTCCAAAGTTTCTCATTTAGTGTTTTTACAAAATGAAATTTTTGAAAAGTAAGAAAACAATTTCCAAAGTTTCTTACTTAGTAAGCCATTATCAGTACGTCTTTCAAGCATGATGATTAAATCCTTCCGGTCATCTGTAAGTCTTTCAAGCAAGATGATATGTCCTTCGTTCCATCCATAAGACTTTCATGCAGGATGTTTTCACGTGATTTTCAAAAAGATGAGAAAACGAACTCCAAAGTTTCTAATTTAGTATTTTCAGAAAATAAAATTTTTGAAAAGTAAGAAAGTGGTTTCCAAAGTTTCTTACTTAGTAAGTCCTTCGGGCCATCAGCAAGTCTTTTGGGCATGATGATTAAATCCTTCGGGTCATCTGTCAG